TCAACAGAATTCCTTACTTAGAATTTCTGGTTCGCAGACTTCATTTGGAAAGTCGAACATTTTCCTCGAATTGGGATTCAAGATAAACCAGTGACTTGGGACACCAAAAGCCAAACCTTTCCCAAGTGGCGACTCTAAATTAAATAAATAATATCATTTCGAATATTGTCACTTAAATTAGAAAAAACTCCCTCACGCATTCAACCCTTCGGGGCGGGCACACAAAAAGGAGGTGTGACAATAGTAATATTTATTAGAGCCTTTTGGTCTTATATGCAAGTATTGTCGCTTTTATTCCTATTTAAATCCTAGTCATAGGAGATATTATTTATTCTGTATATATATACACAAATCGCTACTATAACCGAGATGGTTAATTTGATAAGCCAAATCACAGATCTTCCTATTGTGACTTGGATCCGATATCAAGAAATCATGTGGGACGGGTAAATAGTATTGATTGCATAGGTAGGAAAAGTAAATAGTTTAGGTTTGGATATTTAAGGGTAAATAGTTTGGGTTTAATGTGTATAAAGTGAGATTTTCTCTATTTTTTATAACTCATTCTGATCCATTAAGCAGCCCAAATACAATCCATTAAACTCACAAAAAATAAAGGGNGTGCGTCCAAACCCCCCTCAAAAAACTTTTTCTACTTATTTTTTGTATTTTAAATTTTCTATTTTTTTTGTTTTTCTGCACCACCCTACATCCCCCCTCCCGCGCGCAAACCCCCTCCAATTTATTTTTTTTTTTACTTTTTTTTGTATTTTCTATTTTCTATTTTTTTCGTTTTTCTGCACCACCTACCCCACCCTGTAAAATATTTTTCAACTTACACATTTTAAGGTAAAAGGTTTTTTTATGCAAGATGAACATGATTCTAAAATATGTGTCAAGTTGGCGGGTTGAGTTATGACCTATTGTTTATCCCATCTTGACCCAACCCATCTTAGCTCAAGTACACTTTAGGCTGGGTTGGGCAACGACCCATTTATTTTCCTAACCCATCTTAACCCGCCCAAATTCAACCTAACCCGCCCATTTGCCACCCTATTAAGTGCATCTCAATATTTGTAAGAGGATAGTAACTTTTCAAAGACCATGAGCTCTCAGCTTCTGTTTTTATTGAAATGTGGGTGGATGTACAACCTTTATGCTGGTGATATCTCGATTTGAGGTTGTTACAAGGTGTCAATTTCCACAAATTGCTATTATGTAAATATTGTAAATATCCCTTCTTTTGCAATCCAAATATTGTACTACTAACAACTTGTTTGGATGGTTGTTACCCATTGTATGGTATCGTATTGTTACTTTAAATACAATATTTGTTTTGATTATTATTTAAATTTTATTATATCGTATCGTTAAATTTGTTGTTACATAACAACGAAATGTGCCACTTTATGTAACGACCGATTTGGTGTGGTCGCGTCGTTACCTTGTCTTTTTCTCTCAATCTCACCCTCTATTATTATTAAATTATTTTATTTTATCATTTATCCTACCTTTTTATATAGTAATTTTACGTTGTATCATAATTTTTCTTTATAATATTGCAAGTTTATTGTGCGTGATATCATGAAACGATGACAAACGACACAATCTATCCAAACATTGTATTTATCAAACAATACAGTATAATACAATACAGTACGATACGATACATTATGAAACGATGCGTAACAACCATCCAAACAAGCTGTAAGGGGTCGTTTGGTAAGATGTATTAGAAAAAATAATATATATGTATAACTTTGGTATTATTAATCCTTATTTGTTATTATTTTTCAATCTATATATAATTAGTTATACACCTTATTCAATATTATTTTTGTACATAGCAAACTACGGCATTAGCAATATCATAATTTTTGATACATGGATAAGCATGTATAGAGACAATATTGCACTTTCAAAACCTTTAATACATCAAACCAAATAGTTGATAAGAAATAATATTAGCATAATTAATCATAATATAATTAATCTCAATATTATTAATTTTAATATTATTAATATTTCATATTCAGTATTATTATTATACGCTCTGCCAAATGACACCTAAGGAATACCATGGGATGGACAAAACTTCTCTATCTTAACCAGAGGTATTTTTACCCTTTTGTAAATTTGTCTTGCTTTGCAACCCAAAAAGGAAGAAAGTGAAACCCACGCAACAGAGCTATTGTACAACGTACTCCATCGGTTGTACGTCAATTTGTCCGGCATTCGGATCCAAATTGGTAAGGCTAGCAGGCGAAAACCAATTCCCAGCTTCAATCTATAAACCAAACAAAAACAGATTACTCTACAACACCCCTCTCTCAGGCCACTGCCGAGCACAATCCCCGAGCTCCGAGCACATCAGTAAACCGGTACTCTTCTGCTGCAATTACTGTGATTATCCAAAATTCTCGAATTACATACACTTTTTGTTTCGAAATTAATGTTTTTCCCTCTGTAATTTTAGGTGTAAATTGGACAAGAATAAGCCAGACATGAATGCCCTAGTGAATGAATTCATAATCAAGCTTAAGAAACGGTAATTCCTCTATCACTGTTTTTTTGTGTGTGTGCGCGCGCGTGTGTGTGATAGTAAAAACTTTTCTGGTATGTATTGAATAGGAAAATCGAGGGTTCAAAGGCAACAGCAAAATTGACAGCGGAAGTTCTACGCTCGTGCATATCGCAGCAGAGACTTCCTCATACTAACCAGGCTGCGGCGCTCATTGACGCAATCAGAACTATTGGGGAGAAGTTGATTGCTGCCAATCCAGTAGGTATAAACTTCTACTTCGCCTTTTTATCCTTTCCGTTACTGCTCTTGAGGTGCATTTGAAGAATTGAAAGCTAAAATTATGAATTAATAAAAGTGTCATGTATCTAATAGTTAGTTTTAAGATGAGGGGGTTCACACAATTCAATATGGTACTAGATCAGGATAGGTTTTGCGTTCAGAGTTTCACCATTGCTTATAAATAGTTGCACGTGTTGGTCCAAGAAAAAAAGAAAAAAACTCACACAAGGATGCCTGTTGAGGAAGAAAAATAAATAAATAAAGATATCACCTTTTAAATGAATTAAACTTTTAAATGAGGTGGTTCACACAATTAAACATTGAGCATGTGTCGTGCTCTTTAGAAATCTTTCGAATTTATATGTTTGTTATTATATCAATGACTAGATCAGCTAAGCCTCGATCCTGCTTACTGGGATCAAATATATGAATTATTAGCAACCATTCTGCTTCATATAATCCCACAATTTTGATAATTTCTTTTTGTTTGGGATAAGTTGAAAGTGGTTTGATAACTGAAAAATTGATAACAGGAGATGATCTAAAAAGGTAAGAATCTGGGATGTAGTGAGAAAACCAGTTACCCTGTTACTGTTGAAGCTAGTAGTACATTCCATCTCTCCTTGTCACTCAGCTCCTTCATTCTTGGCTAGTTTGTGGTAGATTTTTAGAGCATTTCCAGTAGATTCTAGAATTCAGCTACCTCTCAGTTAGAAGAATTCTACCTCTCACTCTCTAACTGCTGCAAGTTCCTCCTGAACCTCAGATCCCATAGTTACCCAATTCTTGCGAAGCCTGGATCCACTGCACTGTCATCTCTCTCTGCATACCTGAAAATCTGGAAGAACAATTTTTTTCATTAACTTTTTGCTCAATATTCAGTATGATGTAAATAGTATGTTAGGAGATTATTTACAAACTTTATTTAGCTAAACATCTTTTGCCCGAAGAAATACCCAGACAGAGATCAACTAATATTATCAGGTGAAGTGAGAGAGTAAATATATTTTGGAAAGTCTATTAAAGAATTCCAGGATTACTTACCCTGGGGACTAGAATTCTTATGAGAGCAGCTGATACCTGGACTGTAGTTACTACCAATAGTTAGGGTGAGTGTTTCCTTTCAAAAGAGAAGAAAAAGGACAAGGATCATATTGAATAAATCTGCTAATATTTTGATCGAAGGGCTTATGATTGCTAGTTAGAAATTAATGTAGTTAATTTTTCAATTTCTTATCCTGGAGGATTTTATTTTTCATGTTTCTTCTTCTAGATGTCCTTTTTTTTTCTTTTGCTAATTTAACTTTTGGTGATATCGTGTGAACTTCATCCCAGAGCTCGCCGTCGGTAACATTGTTAGGCGAGTTCTACACATTATAAGGGAAGAGGATGTGTCCTTGACCGCTGCTGCTGTTGGTGGGTTGGCTGTATCGGCTGGAAGTGATGATGAAGATGACTTCAAGCAAGATGATCATCCAGGTTTATCTGCCGCAGCTGTGGCTGCTGCTGCTAGAAGCACCTTGAGACCACCTTCCTTGCAGACCCTCCTTGAGGACATCCCACAATCAACAGCTGCACCTCATACATCTTCTTCTGGTGGTGATTCTGAAGGGAAAAGCAAATGTAAGCAGTCTATAGATCATAATGTAAAACAATTTTTTTGGGATAAGTTAGATATTGACATAAAACTGATTGAGGATCTTTCAGACATTTGACTAATAAGTGAGTTAGCAAATTACCCTGAGGCCACCAGCTGGTGTGATTGGGCTGGTGCTGTGAATGCATTTAAACACTTCATGTTGTTCTGGGAATGGTGAACTATTGGTACTGGGATTAGAAGAAATGAGTCTTGTCAGGTTGTGACTCGTTTCACATTTTCTTTGCAGCTGCTGATAAGAATACTGCAAGCAGGAAACTAAAGCATAATGTCATTGAGGCTGTTAATGAACTTATTCAAGATATTGCTACTTGCCATGAACAGATTGCTGAACAAGCAGTAGAGCATATTCATCACAAGTATCTGCCTTCTCCCTCTTTGCGATCTTGCTGTCAGTTTTATTTTCCTTTCATATTTCTGACATTTGGTGTGGCCTTAGATCTGATTGGGTATGATAAGTTGTCTTGCATCTTGATGGTTGTGGATTTTTGTTAGTTTTGCCATGAAATTTCATTGACATTCAACTTAATGTTCAAATTGGCAATCAGTTTTAACAGCCATCCGTTATTAAGGTTTTTTCCTTTTTTTCCCTCTTTGATGAGTAATTATGTTGACAAAAGCAGCACCACAGAAGTGCTGGACTTTGTACGGCACCAGATACTATTGCTCCTTTCTACTATACAACAATAACAATAGCAATAACTATGTCTCAATCCAATCTAGTTGGGGTAGGCTATATTGCTTCTTTCTTTACAATAAATAAAATCCAAGAATATCAAAATGATCTACATTGTTCATGTTACACCAGAAAGCCAAAAGTCGTAAGCATCTGATTTATACTTGAGGCGCTTTCCCATCAAGACATCCAAAATTTCTTCCTTTCCTGATTATCCAAACTATTTATAGAGGAATGTTATTTCCATAAAAATGTATAACTGCTTCCTTATCTTCCAATTTCTTCTGCTGCTTATTGCTTCCATAAGATTGCTAGACATCACCCAGTTAATACCAAATAGGCTAGTGAAAGATCTCAGATCTGCCAAGACATTGGACACTGCACCTTCACATAAATAGCATTTACTGCACATCTGCTGTAAGTTTACTTGATTTAAACATGCTTTGTGAAAGCATTCGGAGCAAAATAAACAGATGGTGCTTTCCTCTTATTTCCTCTTCCACAGACATCTCCATGGCCATTGAGTAAACCTTTCAGTTCTTTCAGTATTCTATCATAGGATTTAACAGTAAAACAGCCAATCCTCTCTGTGTGCAGGTCAGACTAGTCTTTTGTGACCCTATATTCAAGGTTCTATTGCATATAGTGATCAGGTTACTTTCTTACACTTGTTTCACATCCATGTGAGGAAGCAATTTTTACCATTGCATGTGATTCCTGAATTTTGAAAAACCACTAAGAAATGAAAAGTTTTAGCACGGTAGCACCACGAGTACACAAGTTTATCTTGTCATACATGGTGTTGTTAGCTTTGGTGGAGGAGGCCTATCTATATATAACTAAGGCAAGCTTGGAACTACCAACATCAACAACTATGCCTCAATCCCCAGCTAGTTGGGGTCGGCTCAATGGACTAACGCGTAATAAAATCAGTGAAAACTGAAAAGTACTTCGCGGGTCACAGCTCATTGCTTGAAGGCTCTCCTTCCATTTCCAAAGGGTATATATAATAAACGCCTAAAATCTGGGAACTAGAATTTATTTTAAACTGGTTGTTATAATGCATCAAGTAATGAACTTTTATCTTTGTTTGAGCCTTTGAGGTTTATTGATAACTGCCATGTTCTTGTCGGTTATCTATGGTTATTGACCTATAGGAATGACAAGCAGAACCAGCTCAAAATGTTCAATATATGAAGTCTTCATTGTTCAGCATTCTTGGTTTTTGCCTTGCATTTGGTTGCAGCCAGAAACAATCACCATTATTTGGTGCAGCACTAATATCTTTGTGTATTTTTCTTTCTTTCCTTGTTTTTTTGACCTGTCAAGTTCATATTTACTTATCCAATTGCATAGCGTGGATTTGTTAGCCAAGTGGAGCATTAAAATGAGGAGGACAAGTATAAATTCTTTCTCAAAACATTAGTTATCCAATTACAATGTAATAACCTTCTACTGAATTTTTTTATAATGACCTTCTGATAAAACTTTAGCCAGTGTCTTATGTTAAGCCTGCCACTTGGATATGTTATTTGATATCGAGTATAAATCTATTCGTGTAGGACTGCCAATTAAATTCTCAGAAACCTATTGGTGAGATCTGCTTTAGTAACAATATTTTCATTTATCATGAAAATGGAAACAATCTCAACCCATTATCTCCCCGCTACCCGGGGATCATATTAGTAGTGGCTATCTAGAACTATCATGGTCTATGGTAGCCCCTATACAGCAGTCCTGCAAGCTAAAAGCATAGGACTGACACATAAAGGGAGCCTACTATCACTTCAAAGTTATTTTCAAATGCAGTATATAGTTTTCTTGAAAAGTTGTTTGCTATTTCTAGTAGTTGTTTACTGATTTGAAAAATATCGATGTTTGATGCTTTTCCCTCTGATCCAGTTACATGCGTTCCAACTCTTTCTTCACCTATTAATTGTTGTCCCTTCCTACTTTCTTCCAGTGAGGTAATCTTAACTTTAGGCAATTCAAGAACAGTGATGGAATTTCTCTGTGCTGCAAAGGAAAAGAAGAGATCTTTCCGGGTTTTTGTGGCTGAGGGTGCCCCAAGGTTGTAGAAGTGGCTTATTTTTTATCGTTAAGTGTTGTAATACTGTATAGTTTCCGTAATTTCCTTCTTTTTTTTTTTGAAAAAGAAATTCTGCTTCTTCGACTAGTTTGATTGTTCGTCCTTGGTTTTACTTAAGGTATCAGGGGCATGCCCTTGCAAAAGAATTGGTTGCAAGGGGCCTGCAGACCACGGTTATCACTGATTCTGCTATTTTTGCAATGATCTCAAGAGTCAACATGGTATGTCTGTGCTGTAACTTCTTACATTTAATTATGAGGCCCTAGTCCTTTTGCCTGAATTCTGATATTTCCTATGAAAAGGTTGTTGTTGGAGCGCACGCTGTCATGGCCAATGGTGGGGTTATTGCACCTGTTGGAATGAACATGGTGGCTCTAGCAGCTCAAAGGCATGCTGTTCCTTTTGTTGTTCTTGCAGGCACTCACAAGGTATTTTAGCATAACTAAGGCACTGGTCTCTACCTTCAGGAAATAAATGTATTTTACTCTTCCTAGTTTTATTTAAGAATTAAAGAGCTACTTCCATATAACAACAACAATTACACCTCAGTCCCAAAAACAAGTTAGGGTCGGCTGTATGGATCCTCCCTTCATTCTTCTGTGTAGATTGTGTAAATAATGCAATCTTCTGTGCAGTCCTTGTAGCCTAGAATGTGTTTTTGATGCTGCAGTATTAGCCCTCTGGTTTTGCCTCTGAATTTTGATGGATAAGAAGTATTTGATTTAAGTAGAACCTTACTTGGAAATAAGCATGAGAAGTGCCTTCACTGGTCAAAAGCATCATTGGGAACATGAAGTGCTATAATTAGACTAAGGCAGAACGGAAAGTAGTTGTCTTGCTTTGATTTTGTATCAATAAAAGGTCAAGAGCATTTCTTAGAAAAACTTTGAAGAGATCATTTCGGCAGCTGGAGTGTCCTAAGAAAGGGTTAATGTTCACTATTTAACAGTGTTGCCTATGCAAAAGGATGTGAATGAGCAGATCAGTAAATGCAATTTTGCATTTTGGTGACATTCATCCAGTTTCATTTCCCCTCTCATCTGCTTTATATGTTTCGCTTCTTTGTTTAGGGTTTGTATCCTTCCTTGACCTTTTGACTAAGATTTATGTCTCCTATTTTCTGATGGAACTATTTTTCTAATTTTTCGGGGTTTGACCGTGCGATTGACTTTCATGAGATAAATAATGGAAAGCGAATTTACTCATCAGTTGATTGAGAGAACTAACACATGTTAAATATAATTTCCCTATGACTATTTGTCATTATTTTGTTTAATTTCCTATTGACAGAGGCGGATGCACGTTGTTGGAAAATTTTACTTAATATAGATAAACACTATCAGAATTTTCAATGTCATATAACAAGAGTGTATGCTCCAAATTGCAGAATAGAAAGAAGAACAATATGGAGAGAAATTGGTGCAGTGAGGGGATTGATGGAAGGCCCTTGGGTAGTCTGTGGTGATTTTAACGTCACAAGGTACCCTTCTGAAAAACGGGAATGCTCGAGGAGGTCCAGAGAGATGGTGGAATTCTCGGATTTTATAGAAGACATGGAGTCTCGAAGGAGGCTACTATACTTGGTTCAAAGGGGATAATCATACGACTGCTTCTAGAATTGACAGATTTCTCATTTCAGAAGAATGGGATGAAAACTTCAGACATATCAAGCAAACTCTCCAACAAAGGCTGATTTCTGACCATTCACCAGTGGTCCTATGCCGTGGTGCCTGGGAACAAGTTAAATCATACTTTAAGTTTGAAAATTGGTGGCTGAACGTGGAAGGTTTTGATGACAGAATTAGAAACTAGTGGACATCTTTTGAATTTTCAGGAAGACCAGACTATATTTTAGCTTGCAAATTAAAAGCTCTCAAAGGCAAGCTAAAAGAATGGAGCAGAAGTTGTAAAGGAAATCTGGGATTGCAAAAATCAAAATTGCTGAGTCAATTGGCAGGTTTTGAGGCAACACAACAATTAAGAGCTCTGACAGAGGAGGAATCAGTGAGGAAGGCAGCTACCCTCATGAAGTTTGAGGATCACCTCAAGAACGAAGAAAGTGCATGGAGACAGAAATCAAGAGCTCTGTGGCTCAAAGAAGGGGATAGGAATGCAAAGTTTTTCCATCGTACTGCCAATGCACACAAGAGAAACAACAATATTGATCAACTAACGATTCAAGATGAAGCAGTAGAGGAGCCAGACAGAATAAAGAATGTGATCATTGAATTCTACAAGGGGTTATACACAGAACCTGAAGAGTGGAGACCGACAGTCAATTTCGAAAACAGTCCAAAATCTCTGAATCAGAGAAGGAGTCTTTATAGAGTAAATTTGAGGAACAAGAAGTCCTGAGCTGTCTGAAGATGTGTGCAACTGACAAGGTCCCAGGTCCAGATGGATACACAATGAGTTTTTTCATTAAGTGCTGGGATATTTTGAAGCACGACATCATGGAGGCCTTCAACAACTTCCATTCCCAGGAGATGTTTGAGAAAAGCCTCAATGCAACATACATAGCCCTGACTCCAAAGAAGACAAGTGCGAAAGAATTGAGAGATTTCAGGCCAATCAGTCTGATAGGGAGTTTCTACAAACTGCTCTCAAAAGTATTGACTGAAAGACTTAAGAGGGTGGTAGGAAAACTAGTAGATGCTCAACAAATGGCTTTCATCAAAGGAAGACAAATGATAGATGCAGTGTTGATTGCTAATGAAGCTGTGGATTCAAGAATCAAAAAGAAAGAACCCGGAATCCTATGCAAACTAGATATTGAGAAGGCTTATGATCATATCAACTGGAGCTTTCTACTGAAATTGTTAGAATAAATGGGTTTTGGGCAGAAATGGATCAGTTGGATGAAATTTTGCATATCTACTGTTACATTCTCCATTCTCATAAATGGATCTCCTGAAGGTTTCTTCCATGCACACAGAGGTCTAAGACAAGGTGATCATTTATCTCACTTTCTATTCATTATAGCCATGGAAGGACGGAACAACATGATTAAAACGGCCAAAGTCAATGGATGGGTTAAAGGTTTCGAGGTTCACAGGAATGGGGCAAACAGTCTAGAGATCACACATCTTCAATATGCTGATGATACTCTAGTCTTTTGTGACGCTGAAGAGGAGCAACTTAGGTTTCTAAGGATCATCTTGGTCTTATTTGAGGGAATTTCGGGACTACACATCAACTGGAGAAAGAGCCATATTTATCCCATTAATGAAGTTAATAACATGGAGCAACTGACACAGATAATGGGAGGAGAAGTAGGGTCCCTACCTACTGTATACCTTGGGATGCCTCTTGGTGCAAGATCCAAATCCAAAGAGATCTGAAATTCAGTCATTGAAAAGTATGAGAAGAAGTTGTCAAGATGGAAATCGCAATACCTATCAATGGGGGGCAGGCTAGTTTTAATCAACTCAATATTGGACTCACTTCCTACTTACATGATGTCTTTGTTCCCAATTCCTGCCGGAATCATATAGAGACTAGACAAACTCCGACGATCCTTCCTTTGGCAAGGGAATAAAGAGAAAAAGATCTTCCATTTAGTTAAATGGAAGACCCTCACAATGGCCAAAAAACAAGGTGGTTTAGGAATAAGAAATTTGAAGAATCAAAGCAAGGCTCTTAGAATGAAATGGCTATGGAAATATTCTCAAGAACCTAAAACTTTATGGAGCAAAGTGATCAAAGCTAAGTACGGTGAGGAAAATAACTGGGTGTCAAACAAAGTCAGCACATCATATGGAGTTAGTGTGTGGAAATCCATCAGAGAACTTTGGCCTATAATGAAGATTCAATCTTCCATAAGAGTGAACAGCGAAATGGAATACATCATTCTGGAATGATAATTGGTTGGGACATGGAAGCCTAAAGGAAAGATACCCTGATATGTTTGGTTTGGCACAAAACCAGCTTAGGACAGTAGCTGATATGTGGAGTTATCAAGGATGAGAACTCACTCTTAGAAGACAGTTGAATGACGGGGAGATAACAAAATTAGCTGACTTCTACAAAGAGCTGGAAGCATTTAAAGGATTACAGGAAGGGGTGGATTCACTTTGGTGGCAGAGGCACAACAGAGGGGTCTATCAGGTGAAGGATGCATATAAGATTTTGAATCAAAATGATCTTCAGATAGATGCTTGGCCATGGAAGCATATATGGAGAACAAATATTCCATATAAGGTAATATGTTTCTCTTGGCTACTAGCAAAGGAGGCTGTTTTAACCCAGAATATTCTCATAAAAAAAGGAATTTCTCTGTGTTCAAGATGTTTCCTATGTGGGGAAAATGCTGAGACTGTTAGCCATTTATTTCTACAGTGCAAGATAACAGACCAACTATGGAAAATCTTTATTAGTCTTAGGGATATTTCTTGGACAATGCCATGCAGGATTAATGAAGTTCTTTATAGTTGGGAAGAAGCTGGTGTTGAAGCAACTAACAGAGATAGATGGAGGACTGTCCCGGCTTGTATCTGGTGGACAGTTTGGAGGGAAAGGAATGCTAGATGTTTTGAAGATAGAAGCAACCCAGTACAAAAGATCAAACTCAATTGTATTCTTCTTTTTTGTTTTTGGTGTAAACAGATTTACACAGAAGATACATTGACAATCGTAGACATACTAGGATCTTGCTAGGTTGCACACCAGCACATCTACTTACCACCTACTTGTAAATTTGGTTTTCAGTACAACCTATGTACTGATGTTATTAATATATACAAAAGTTATCAATTCAAAAAAAAAAAAACCAGAAATGACACCGCTTGACAAAGAGGGCTTCATGGCTCGCTGGTTAAGCGCATTGTTTTGCTTATAGAGGTCGGAGGTTTGAACCTCAACGTGGACTTTCTTTTTGGCAAATATTGTGTGAGCCTTGTTGTAAAAAAATTGTGGTTAAATAGAATTGAACCCTAGACCTCTTCTAGCTTAAGACTCAACTAAACCAATGGGCCAACACTCTTCCTTGTCTACAAAAGTGATAATTTTTTTTGCCAATTTTTTTTTTTGGACAATAAAAGTTATAATAATTACTCAAAAGTTAAAGAAAGAAGAAAGACGTTTGGAACTTGTGGTATAAAACAACCCATATATATTTATGGCTATAAATCATCTCATTAAGGGTAAAATGAGAAGTTTAAATTTAAATTCTTTCTTAACATAGAAAGATATCATTCTTTTTGGGATAGACTAAAAAAGAAAGTGTATCACATAAACTGGGACGATGGAGTATATATTTTCTTTGCTTATTCTCTAAGAAGATGTGGCATGGCTTATTTAAGATGTTGAATGGCCATAGGACACTGCAACCTTACACTCCTTGTAAACTTACAATTTGTGTTAGATTTTTCCGAGACAGTGGGAAGGAATAGGTTCTGGTAAGGTCATATCAGTTGGTAACAGGGTTGGTTGCTACTGATGAATTAAAGCAATTGCTTAGCCTGTAGTAGAATACCTGAGAGAGATTGAACCAGATTTCCTTAATGTACAATTAGAAAGGTGCAAAATTGTCAACTACAAATAGACATTGAAGGTGACAAAGATAAAGAAGAGGGAAATCCACCTTTGCTAGGATTCTCAGAACTCAGGTTCAACTCAAAGACATTTATCCGTAGTCTGCTTAAAAGAGCTTAAGATTGAAATTGACACATGGACTAGAATTTATTGCAACTATGGAAACACCATCAGACCTAAGAATACTCGGTCAGCAGAGCTGCAAATGGATCGCTTGAGGTCGAATCTGTTAATGCTTGCTTTAAGACAAGGTATTACTTGACCTTCACGAAGTTGAAGAGAATAATTTGAATGAGTTATAACATTTGTGCTTAGAATATATACTTTTAACACAATGGTGGAAAGTTGTGAAAAGAGTATAAGGATGTCACATCAAAACTCAAAATAATAAAATGCAACACTCCTATACATTGCTTGAGACTTTCTGAGATTGGTAAACATTACCAATTTAGGAAATAGTCATTTTTCTTTGATGCCAACCAAATGGGAAGAAGGAAGTACTTGAGAAACGGAATGCTCAAATATTACCACATTGCTTTCGTAGAAATTCTCATTAATTATTAAACTAGAAATGCAATATCCACCTTTACAATTCTCAACCTTCAGGATTGGTTAATTTATTTCTTGTTCTTAAAAATTGTTTGTGAACTTGTTCTTTTGTAATTCTTTGTTTTTATTCTATGTTGTGCCGAGTGTCTTTCGGAAATAACTTCTCTACCTTCATTAGGTAGGGGTAAGGTTTGCGTACACTTTACCTTCCCCATACCCCACCGTGGGATTTCACTGGGCGTGTTGTTGTTGTTGTTGTTTTTATTCTTTGTTGTGCCACAAATGGTCCTTTTTTTTGTAGTTTTCGTTTCCCCGTTTAGAAGGAAATTTGTATAAAACCAATGGTTTGAGCTCTAGTTCAGGCCAAATGCTCAGATTAGTGCTGAGCTTGCAATTCAACCCAAGCTAATTCAGTATCCACTATATTCACAGTCAAAGCTTGAAGCCTTGAACAACTAGTGAATATTAATCAACTCGCATTGAACTGAGGCTTGAATGCATACCACCTCATTCAGTTGGAGTAAGATTGGTTCCAGGGCTACTAGGGGACACTTAATATTAGTTGACACATTTTGGCATCCAAAATTTGTACTTTATTATCCACCTAATTGCTCGGCATCCAGTGGGAAACTCGAAAAGGAGGGGGCTCTATTTTCTAGCTAAATGAAGTCACCGGGACAGTAGGATTAATGATCTTAATCCTCCATCCTAGTCAGTATGAGAATATTCTTACTTTGATATTATTCCATCATAGTCACTGCCGCTCGGTCTCCTCCACTACCAAGTATCAACTATTATACTACCATGCCACATCTTGGCTCCTCAATCCTCACTATCTTAGGACCTCTAACATAAACATAAATTTAATGTTCGAGTCATGCCACTATTAATTTCCAGGCCCATAGCGCTATTAACAGCGATGATTAAAGAACCACTCTATGTATGTCATGGTAGGCCAGCAACAACTATGGCTGTTCTATTGGGGATTATGATAGTCCAGTCCAGAAAGATGATGAATATATCTCACAAGTTGTGTCGTGATTAATAAGATGAAACTGGAACCTGGGACATGAAATTTTATGGGAAAGGAAACTGGTTTTGTATTCAACTACAATAAAGAGCCATAAATTTTACAAATGCTCACTGAAACCTTGCAAAGTAGTAAGAACCATAAAACTTCCATCTCGAAAGATATATCATAGATTTGAAGCATCATACTGTGGTATTTAGATTTGAAGAAAATTGCATACCTATTGACATGGACAAAATAAACAAGACTTATAAACTGGAACCTGAGTGCATGAAGTATGAAGAAGGCAGCTAAACAAGTCATGCTACCACTGTAAGACATGGGTTATGTTAAAATACTACATTACTACTTAGTAGTGATTTCTTGGCATTCTTGTAGTTGATTGAAGGAAAGACCATAAATATTGGTGAACTTTTTTCTTAAGGTCAAATATCTTTTCTTACTGCATCTACTTCAACTGAGAATCATTTGTGTAACGACTTGTTTGTGCAACAGTTGTGTCCTTTGTATCCGCACAATCCTGAAGTCTTGCTAAATGAATTGAAGTCACCAGCTGAGCTTCTGGATTTTGGAGAATTCTCGGATTGCCTGGACTTTGGGACCAGCTCTGGTTCCCCTCTACTTCATGTTGTTAATCCTGCATTTGATTACGTGCCACCAAATCTTGTTAGTTTGTTTATAACAGACACGTGAGTACCTTACTATTAGGATTTTTGAGAATGTATCTCTTCATGTAATGTTACTCCTTGGTGAATGCTAATTGCTGGTGATGTAACCCAACCTTAATGTGCGTGAGATAAATTTATAACTCAATCTACTTAAAAGCAAGAAGAAATATACCTGGGAAATCTGTCTGATCAATTTACAGTACAAACTATTAAGTGTATGAAATATTTTACCTTCTTATATTTTATTTTTTGACATGTTCCCTTTATGGCAATATGGAATCATATAACAGCATTTGCAACATATCTGTAATTTGACTAGGTGATATTTTATTAGTTTGTTTTATTTTTTTATTTTATTTTCTTATTTTCAGAAACTGGGCTTATTCTCTTTTGCTGTTTCAGGGGTGGACATAATCCTTCATACATGTACCGGCTCATAGCTGACTATTATTCTGCTGATGATTTTGTGGTGAAACAGAGTTCGATTTCTTGAACTTGTATCAAGCTTCGGCTGTTCTATACATATTATTGAGGTAGCATTCCTTTTCTTTTCTTTTTTCCTTTTTCTTTGTTAAGTTTCTTAGCATGAATGCATTCCTTAGATAAGTTATGGTGTCCAAATTTTGACTCTGTAGTAGGCTGTAGGGCTGTGATGTAGCACCACGGCATGAGTGTGGAGTGTGGACTAGTTGCATGAAAGCCATTTTCTTTTCTCTTTATTCATTTTGTCCTCTTAATGGATTTCATATTTAAAACGTCTACTTTTTCCCCTCTTCTTTTCACTTTCTTTCGTTTCTTTATAGCAATGTGACTGCAGCCTGGAATTGCCACTGGTCAACCATTTTTACTTTCACCTGTTCAAACTGAAATATGCTAAGTTCCAGCTAATATTGCAAAGTAGTTTGGTGGGTAGAAACGCAGTCACGGGGAAGCTAAATAAGAGAGAACAAAGGACTTGAGTCGGTTTTGCAAACTTTCTGTTCTTGTGCTACACAGCCTGAAAGGACTTAATGATGTTACACCAGTTATTGATGCAAAATGCTAACCTTGAACTCTGAAACTGTACAATTGAATATTGCTTCCGACAAGTATCATTGGCTTTGGCAACTCGATAATTTCAGTATTGCTTTATAATCCAGTTTAATTCCTTTTTGAAGGAAATCTGCAAAATATTAAGTAGTTCCTGTCCAAAGGCAGTCCCCGTTTGGTATTGAATCCGCTCCCTTTAGATTATGCTACTAGCCGTTAGATTACATTACCAACTTATCCCATACTTGATTGACATTCAGGTAACTCATTCAGCTGAACCTAAAACAAGCTGCAGGCAAGGAATGCTCTCCTGGATTCATTATAAGTACAGGATATGACCGAATTCTTCTATGAGATCGTATACCCAGATGACGTTCCTGTAAAGACGCCTTGAACAACTGGGTTTAAAGTCAAAAGGACAAGTTCAGTAACTATATTCTTTTTATCCCAAGATGTTGCACCTACATTATACTGACTGCAATAAACAGATGAAGAGAGCATCGCGATTTTTGGAGTTTGTAGATTGATTCTGAGATTAGATTTGTGCTGGAGTTTTGTGATTTCGGATATGCAGAGTACTACTTGATGGTGGTTTTCCTTTGTGGTATTATTAGACAACACGTATGCTATTGTTGACTGAAAAGTTAAGTTGTCGAATGGTTTATTCATTCGTATTATCAACAACTAAATGGTACTATAGTTTATGCAAGAGGAATAATGAGTTTTGCACTGGATATTCAGGTTTTGTTCTTTTAGACCTACACACTAGGGGGTTATTTCTAGGTATATTTTTCACCTAATTAGATAGTGGTCTTGCGGAGAAGTTAAACCAGTTTAATCAACTCTGACATCGAAAAAATAAAACGTGATCTTCACAAAACAGAGCAACTCAAAGGCCTATTTTTGTTTGAGAAAGACCATTGGAATATCTTTTGAAAAATACATATGTTGTTTTTCCGTATATGTCAAAAAGGACAATCTAGTAACAATATTTCCAGTGGTTCATTTCCTATTAGTATTGCAGTTACTTGACACGTAAGCGATCTTTGAACCTGTTACATATTGTGAGATTCAATTTTGGAAAATAGTGCTTTTTTGCTGTTTCATAAAACACGTTATTTATCTGGGGAACTATTAAAGAACCAAGAATCTGCACAATGATACATTAAAAACTGAATGTAATCAGAAAAATATGTTACAGGGTTACAACTAACCCCCTCACACCCCTTTCCTCTTTCAAGACAGGTGATGAAAGGATAATGACCAATCAGAACACAAAGAAAGTAGATTAACTAACTAATTGGCAGTGCAACAGATGCAGATTGGACGGTATTCTTGTCAGCACCTTCTACCTCAAACCAGAAGAAGAGCGACGCACGAGTATAAATCACTCGTACCCGTTGCAATGAAAGTGTCCCACTGGTGAGGACAGCTTTGGCACCTCCTTCAATGCGAGTTTTCAGAACCGAAACACTATTAATACAAGTTTTGAGTGCTGATGAGACGACCTCAGAAGCACCAGCAGTACTAATAATTGCATAGGATAGATGGTCCAGAGGATTCGACTCACACTGAAGAATGCAACCATCAATGGTAAGCCTCCCGCTCCTATGAAGCAAGCAGCACCCGAGCTCTGCCCTCACAGTCAAATTAGCCAGCTTACATGTGGACATGAACTCTAATGCACTGCTCAGCAACAAAGAACAAACATGTGTACAATGGCAAGTGAAAGTAGTTCTACCTCTCAGAGAGAAAATCCAAACTCAGTTTAACTTGTCTTGTGGAAACTTGATAATAACAGACATCTTTAAATAAACATTGCACAGACAGAAACTGAAGATCAAATTATGTGAATTTTGTTGAGGTTCATTAAATATTGATCATAATTGTGAAAGCATCTGTTTTTCTAATCCAAGAAAGTATAATGTCAAGTTACTTAAAACAAAAATGTCGGCCTATATAATACAAAGAGGTTGTAAACTTTCTGCTTTTGAAGGAATCATTTTTGGCACCCATCTCGGGAATAAGCTCTAAGCAACACTAGGATTAAAAATCTCCCTTAGTAAAGAAGTCGACATCCTAAATATGCCAACTTTTTTTTAAAGAAGAGTAATGATCAATCTAATGTCCCAGTCAAGAAAATTAATTTCGAATAAGAAACTTCTATGTTTAAGCAACAAAATAGTACTACTATACCAAGGTTCGCAAATAACAGAATAAGAAGTAAAAATAATAGATGAAGGTCTCACAAACCTGTCTGAACTGCGAGAGCAAATAAGGGTTGTATCATCAGGACTCTCACCTGCGCCAATCTGTAAAAAGGAGATTGAGGTAGCGGAAGGCTNAGGGAATGTGTGTGTGTTTCCTTTAGGTAGCAAATGAGATCAATAAGAAATAGACAAAGTAGACATAGACGGTGTCCAAATATGTCACGTTTGGACTTCCAACAAGTCTGAGTTGCTGCTACAGCAGGTAATATTGTATTGTCGTCATGCATCCAATGGGTTTACATAACTATTATATGTATTCATGTACTCAATATACAATCCACAAACCAAAATAAGAACTCTTAGAGTGGGAATAGCTATGAATTCACATAAAGTTATAGCTTTGAAATCTCTCTCTGAGACCTCCCGAGACAGTAAAACATCAAATGGTCCAGCATCTGTAGGCATTATGTATGTAAAGTAATCGGAGGTTAATTTTTTGAAGTTACCAGGCAAAGTGGCTTTTCAATCTTAATATTTGACACACGATGGCTGCCTCCTGCTGCAACAAGTATAGTGTCCCCAGGCCTGAATAACATTCAGATACCAGGCCAGCTTGTAAGACCAAGACCAGAACAGAAAAAGGAAAATGGGAAAAAATGTAAACCTTGCAGCAGAGACAGCTATCTCAATGTTCGGATAGACCCCAGGTTGAGACAAATCTTTCACAGAACGATCTACTCGCAACCAAAGTTGAGGATGACATGCCAAGAATCGCCATCCGTGGCAAACGAGGGCGGTGTTATACCGATCTGCAACTCAACAGCAAGTTGTGACAGAAAAGGATCACATAGCACCATAATGTGTTCTACACTAAAATCTAGAAATAGATTCATCCAATTAGAGCATACTAGGCAAATGAATCACAGTGCACACTCGCCACCTCCCAAATAAAAAAGAAAAACCAATAACACATCAAATAACCACCCATAACAATAAGTCATAAAACTAAGATTTATCTCATGTTTGATAATATATGAAATGAAGATTGCTTTAACAGTGGTGCTGGTCCTTTGAAACTACTACTTGATGCCTGACAAGGATCTTGGGTCACATATGAGCCATAAGCTCTTTTATTTTTGTTAAACAAGTAATGATAAGAGATCTTAAATTCTCATGCCACCATAAAACTATTTGCACTATACAAGCATTGAAACAGAAGTAGAAGCATATGTTGAACTGTTCACCTATATATTCCTACACCGGCATTGAACTATAGGAGAAGGTTGCTTTGACAGAATTGTTAATGTGATGGCTGAGAGAGAGAGAGACATAAGCTTCTCATCGCATCAGGAGCTTGGTCGTCAAGAACTCTACCTGACCAATCACCAATGAATGTGATTATGTGAATACCCTCATGTATCCGATCAAAAAAGATATTGAGGAACTTGCCAAAAGATAGACATAGGAATTGTCTTGAGACCATAATGCTCGTTTCTCCTCATGTTCTCAAGCTGAATCATTTCCAGAGCTCCGGAAGCTACCATAAAGAGTATAAAAATGACCAGGCGTATACCCATTCTCTATAGCTGAGTGAATCCCCGTGCGTGGCATGTGAACTTTTGCGCAAAGGGGATGATGACAGTGACATACATTGGCACCCAGAATATTACACCGAGTTTCTCGAATACCGTCAATGATGCCAATGGTATTGTGAAATGGATATTGTATAGTCCGGTCATTTCAAAATTCTCTATGGTAGCTATCGGAGTTCTGGAAATGATTCAGCTCGAGAATGTGAGCAGGAACAAGTATTATGATCTCAAGACAATTCCTATGTCTATCGTTTGGAAAGTTCCTCAGTATTTTTTGATCGGATACGCGAGGGTATTCACATCCATTGATGATTGGTCAAGTAGAGTTCTTCTATGACCAAGCTCCTGATGCGATGAGAAGCTTATGTTCCGCTCTCTCTTTTACAGCCATAACATAGGCAACTATTTGAGTACTCTGGAACAAGGGAGATCTCCCAAAAAAAAAAAAAATCGCCGACGAATCCATATCAAGAGAGAAGAACAAAAACGTATAAAAAAAGGAAAGAAAGATGATACAATCATGCCACTGCGACGGCTGGTGAATGAAAATTCATTAACCTATAGTTACCTTTCTTAGAGTACCAATAGAACAAGAGCCAAGACAAGCGACAGACATGTTTAATAATTAACATAGGGAAAACTCGATTGCTTTCTTGAGTTTCAATGTTTCAAAGCCTAAAATATATTCAGCTCTTTTTTACTCTGGCTGGAAAGAATAAACTCACATTTCTCTAGAGCTGTGCTGTAGAACAGGTTCGAACACAAATCACATTTTTATTGTATTGATTAATTGGTTAAGAATAAGAAATTATTCCCAGCTCCCAACAGCAAACCAACCATTATTGGGTGAGTAAGGACTGACTATGATGTTATCCAACTACAGTCAAAGCTAGGTCCCTGAACATTTATGTTGTATTGTTGTTACAGATAACGATCAAGTGACCTTGAAAAGATATATTTTTCAGAAGTTAAGGACCAAGGTACACATGCACAAAAAATGAATGCCACTCATCTGAAACCTGTTAATCAACAATCACGTAACTTGAAATGGTCATGTAATATAAAACCAAAAAACTAATGGATGAAAAAGAATCTCGGCAGTTATCCATTTGAATATATTAATCAGAAGTTCAAGCCATAACAAAAAAGAAGAACAAGACCTGGATTGTAAAAGACACTCAAAATGCAAACTTTAAATGAAGAAACAATCAACTAAGCTCAAAAATGCAGAAGTATGAAATCCACAGGAGCACTTGCTAAATATGTTCACAAAAATTCAAGAAACTCTACTATTGAAAGCCTAGAATAGGACCGGGAAAAAAAAACAAAAAAATCCAATCTTTGTAACCTTTAATTGATGAAAACTAAAGCTGGAACTTGCAATTTCATTAACTATGATAAAATCAATATGGGGCATTATCTATTAAGAAGCTAATTATGTTCATAATAATACAAGAAATTTAATTAAATAAGAATTGGACTAAGAGAGACACAAAAATATTCAATCGTTATGACCTTCAGTTGATGAAAATTAAGAGTTGGTTTTGCAAATTTGAACCAAAGAAACTGTGAATTAAGCTGAAAACTGAAAACTGTTACAAAACATAACAATTCATTGAGAAATTTAATAAAACAAGAATTGGACTGAGAGAGACACAAAAAGATTCAATCTTTGTAACTTTTAGTTGATTTTAAGAGTTGAGTTTTGCTAATTTGAGCCAAAGAAGCTGAATTACAAAAGTATACTAAATTATTGAGAAATTGATATGAAAGAATAGGGGGCAGCAATTAGTAATAATACCTGGAATAGGGGAGAGAAAACTAAAGATGTGCATAAGACAGCCATCATCAAGATTGTTGATTAGAGATAATTCCTTTGAGAGTCGCCTCCATTTCCTCTTCTGTTCTTCCATTCACAAAAGCCAAGATTTTTGGGGGTGCTGAAATGAGGAGCAAAAAATGGCTACTTTTTGATGCTGAAGACTGGCAATGCTCTCGACGGACCGATTGTTGGGCTTGGGCCATAATCTTGGGCTTGCATAGTATCAAATGAAAGCCCAATCATGAATATCAAAGTTCTATTTTGGCATATAATCTTGGAAATGTCCCAAAAATTGTAAAAATTGCACGGCGCGTCCTATTTGGTCGCCTTCATTTAACATATAACTATTTTTTAAAAAAGTTATAGCTTGTACCCACTTTTTAAACAACTTCAGTCCCCTTTCTCCTCCTCCTTCTCCTCCAAACGAATTTCTCTTTCCAATACGAAACGAATCTCTCGTTCCCTCTGCTTCTTTGATTCCAAGTATTTTTCCCACTTATTCTCATCCTCTTTTGATGGTAAAAGTGATTTTAACCTCATCTCCTCGAACGAATAGTGTTCTCTTTTCCATAAATTCTTATTTAAAAGAAATTCTTCTTCTGATTTGGGATAATTAATTTGTATTTGCCTCTTTTGGGACTTAGTTAAATTTACTAGACAACGTGCTCTTAGGCTGATGCTTTCTGAATTGTTTCCAAGGAATACTTCTATCATATGTTCTGCCCTTTCTTCCTCTTTCAAATAACTAATTTTCTTCTCTAGATCCGACAATTCTGCCATTTCAATAATTCGACGCAGCTGAAGTTCTTTAGCGAAGTTTGCCAGTTACAAACAAAAACTTCAGCTCTAGAGCTGAAGTTCACCAGTTACAAAAACAAAAACTTCAGCTCTAAAGCTAAAGTTCGCCAGTTACAAAAATAAAAACTCCAGCACACTTGCTACTTTAGTCCCGTCTACTAGAATGCTGAAGTTTTGCATGATTGCCTTTGCTACTTCAGCCCCGTATGATGAAGTTACGCGAAAAAGTGGGTACGCTTGCAATTTTTTTTGCAAAGCGGGCACAAGTTAAAACGTAACCCAAAAAGCGGGTATAGATGCAAATGCCCCCAAAAAATTTCCAACTTAAAAACCTCTAGCCATTAATTATACACTTACCAAAACTAGTCAAGTACATATAAAATTGAAAATCCAAAGAAATAAGGTTCTTTCTCTCCAAGAATCTCACACAAAGGTCTCCTTCCATATTTTTAAGCGTGATCAGCAACACTAGGTGCAAGACGGAAAGAAAATTTCATGGATGAGGTAGCAAATAAGGTGATGAAATACAAAAATTTATATATACAAAATTTCAAAAATCTAAGCAAAAAATGGCCTTTTTAAATGGGTATGGTTGAGATTCATTGAAACATATAGAAGAGTCAATATACAAAATTTGAGGAAGATTGGAGGTGATTTAGACTGATTTGATATCAAAATTCATAGTTAAAATTGAGTTCAAAAAATTCTTCTGCGACACATGTATCAAACATGTATCGCGCATGTATCTCACACGCAGGTATACATGAATATACATATGATACACATTTGATACAAATATGATACATATGTGATACACAAGTGATACATAGTGTGATACACCTATCATTTTGTTGATGTTCATCGTCTACTTCGACTTTTCAATTCAAACCATCTCAAAACTCCACCAAATCATCCCAAAACTGAGATTCAAGCTCATTAAGATGTACTCAATCTATTCTAATAACACACACTCAAAGAAAGCAAAAATTTTGACTTTTTTTGCTACAGATAACTAATTGGCTAATATTTTAGCTAAATATTTAATGAATTGACCAATTTTTGTAATAAGCTACTTATAAATGGAAAGAACTGGTATTTTCCCTATAATCTTTTCTGAGAAAAAGAAATTTTGGAGAAGTGCACAAATAGCCGTTTTTTGGACACCAATTTAAAAAATAGTCAAATTTGTAAAAATTTTAAAGTTTAGTCGCCTTAATATCAACTTCATACTCGACGGTTAAAGTTGAAATCGCAAACCGAAAGTTACGAAGTTCAGAACTTCGGGTCTAAGCCTAAAATCAAACTCGACGGTCTGAAGCTGACTCGAAGGCTTGAAGAAAAAGAAAAAGAAAAAGAAGAGGAAGAAGCCAAATCTGGAAACAAGCTAAACTTCAAAATAATCGAAAAAGGGAATTGTTACCGTGGTGATGTTCCTAGACATTTGATGGCTTAAACTCCCTTCAGTGCTGGGAGATGATTCTCCAAGTATTTGAAATAAGATGTAAGTTATAGTTTTTAATGTTATTTGTGTCTTTTTTTCGATTCGTTCACGCTGGTATGGTGTATAATTTTTGTAGTTATTTTATGATTTTTGGACAGAGAGAAAAATATGCTTATAGGGAATGAGAGGATAACGAGCTTCCTCCTAGAGTTACATAACTTATATACACTTTAAAGAAGGAAAAAGATTGGCTTAAACGTGAAAGAAATATTTTGCATCGGAAAAATAAGTGGTAGTTGGAGGGACCGAAGTATTAAAGAAAAATAATGTTTTGAAGAAGAAGGTGGAGAATCTTGAGAATTTTCTGGTACATAATGCTAGAGTGATCAAAAAGTTGAAGAATATTGTGGCTTGTTATTTGTATCTTGTGTTGTTTTGTTGGATTAATCGCGACTTAGAAGATGGAATGACAATTGAGATGTTCGATTAATCGTAGTAGATAAATCTTTGAACTAATGTCGGATCTTATAGCTAATTAACATATTTATTTTGTTTTGTGTTCAGTACTTGTTTTGAACTTATATTGTATCTTATAGTTAGTTCTCGTGTTTATTTTTGTTTAGTCTTCGGATATGTATGATAAAAAGGGATGTTCTATCCCTAAAGTGAAAAAAAAAAATCCTTCTTGCTATAAAATTTTCATTATTGTTTTGTCATTTGTTTGGTACGTTGGCCTTAGTAATACATACTAAAGAATTGTAAAAACCCAGGCAGCTCTCATTTGGTTTTGCTTATATCATTTCTCTATATTAGTGATGTCAATCTAATAAAAAAGACAAACTTCACTACACAAATCTGGTAAGCCAATGGGATAATGCACCAAATTAACAAAGACAAGAAAATCATACCAAAAAAGTCAAGTAGGATACTTCATTCAAAGTGCAACAACTTCATTGTTTATGCAACTTGTTCTTATTTATCAGGTACTTAATCAATGACAAAAAATATTAAATGCAATCAACCGTCGGATGGCTAAGCCAAAAGACTAGCATAACTGTCCCACTACCTATACTAGTCCTCATAAATATATTAACTACCCAATTATACATGCCAGCTTTCAAAAAATATTAACTATCCAACTACTATGTCTCTGGTGTAGGTGCACCTTTACCCTTTATCCCGATCTTCTTCACTTTTTTTTTTTTTTTTTTTTTTTTTTTTTCTTCTGACTTCTTCTTGCAATTGATTGGATGTCATGGCTGTCTTCCCCATTCAAGTTGCCTTGTTTGGTGAGAAAGGCAATTTAGCGTTGAGCTTCGTGTGTGATTTCCCCTGAACTGAATCCTTCTTTTCTCAATTGGATTTTGCTATTTTTGCTTGCTTTCCAGTCTTATTTTTGTCTCAAAAATAAAATGTGACCTTAATGGCTTCCTATTTGAGGACCATAACCAATAGACTAAAGTGTTGCATGTGCTAGAGCTTGGAGATCTTTGGTAAGATCGATCTGTCAGGGTCTCTTCTTCAGTCGTCTTTGCTTGGAATTCATCTTCAGTTTTACTGCAGGTTATCCCTTTCCTTTTCCTAGCTTGTGCATTGCTTCCAGCTCTAGAATCCTACCACAAAATAATGTATGTTAGTTATACCAATGTAATTAAATAAATGCGGAATACTGTTATTTATACCTTGAAACATTCCCTTGCATTGTAGTTAGGCTCACCACATTTGCTGCAATAAATTTGAGTCCCCTTCCTTGATTGATTTCATTCTCCTTTTCTTTTTCTTACCTTATCTGGTTGTCTATTTCTCTTAACTTTTGGTCAGCTAATAATTTTCACAATATCAGGTGGCTCTGTGTCTTAAGAAGGATCAAATTTTTAGAATTTTTGACCCCTCAATAGCATCTTTTGCTTATATATTATCATATAAGCCTCTTTAGTATACTACCAACTTATTTCAGTTATAGGATCCACCTTCCAGTGCATCAGGGCTTTGATAGTGTGGGGACATGGGATTTCACCAAGTCTCATATCCTACATGTGCATCTCATCTTCTCCGGATAGTGTGTCTATTTTACCTTCTAAAACCTCATATCCATATGATTACCATTAAAGTGTACCTTGCAATGTGAGGCAATTTGCCTGGAATCACTATATAGTTTCATATCTCGTGGACTGTAGTCAGCATTTTAAGTCTCAGTTTACCTTCATTGTTAGCCAACATTTACATTACCTTGATCCTTATTTCTTCAAGCATCTTGATGATAGGCTTGCTTCTAGTCTCCAGAATCCATGCATTTAATGATTCAGTAAAGTTATTATCCACCATTATTTTCTTACATTATGTATAAAAGAAAGTTCTACACCAACCTTTTGGTGGATAATGCATTATATCCTTTGCAGCATCTTCGGCTTAATCTCCCAATTTTATCATCTGGCCTTCAAATTCCTCTTTATAAGTGCTATAAAAATACCATCACATCAATATTTTATTTCACTATTCCTCTATTTTTACACCAATTTGCCTCAGTATGTCCAACACAGAATCTGTAATATGCTTCTGGCAGTACACTCATCACTGCATCTTACAGTCCCGCCATAAAAGAAAAATAAGAAAATTTGAAATCAGAATTAATAATCCAAAAATAAAAACAAAATATTAAAATATGACTCACCTTATGCATATCTGAAATAAATGTCATTCCAACACCAACTTTAAGGTCCAAAGACCTCTTCAACATATTCATAAGCCAGGTCCATGTCCTGGTATTTTTTTTTGTCCACCAAAGCCCATACTATTGGGTAAAAATAGTTTATGGAATCTTGGCTAATAGCAACCAACATTTGACCCCTACTCCGTCCTATTAAGACCTAGATGAGGATTGCCCGTGCAGAGCACGAGCCCAACATTGTAGATTTAAACCAACTATCATTCTCTAATGATGCTTTGGAGAATTCATTTGGGAATCCAACTGGAATGGTCAAAGAAGTCATAGGAAGTAACCAATATTTCATTACCCAACATGAAAGGACTAATCCGAATATTCATTACCCAAATATGGAATATTCTAGGTTTATTGTTCTCAAATTCTGTAGAGTTGTAATTATCATTAAAAACCATCTGATGTAGCATCTATTGCAAATACCACAGACAACACTTGCATCTTGGCTATCGTCATTCAGCCTTTTAACAAAATAAATGATTCCCCCTTCAATTATCAAGTTGTAAAGTCAAAACATTTGGTGCACATATCATATGTCTAATACCTATCCTACTAATTTACATTACTATTCTTTTCCTTCAGAACTTAGGAGCTTGACCTTTCACGTAGCCTGCCGACTGAGTCCCTTAGTTTCGACTACATAAACACAAGTTCTAAAACAATGTCTTATAAGCTTCTTTACGAAAGTTGGTCAAAAATCTTGATTTGGCCGATCATAAATTTTGGGATATCATCTGAATGTGCTCATGGATCAATCTCAATACCACTTCCAAGCTAGCATTGATTTCTTCCTTATTTCTCGAGACCCTATACATGGACTGATTATTAACCAAAAATAAAAAATAATTTCATAAACAAGTAGAAGTGTAGAACATTAACCTTTGTATCTAGTATACATACATTAGTTAATTTTATGTGTCAAGGATATTGGAAGTAAATGCCTTTAGAAGTGTATATGATCTTATTCTGTAAGGCATAAAACTGGCACAAAGTACAGACATAAAACCCCACCAGAAGAACTGAACAATAATATGGATATGTGCTAGTATTTCTAGGGAGGAAAAAAGGAGGGAGGGAGGAAAGATAAGTTGTACCTGCAAATGTAGCTACAAAACATGGGAAAGAAATAAGACAAAATGGTGTACTAATCCACAAACAACAAAAATATAAGCTATGAATAAACAAAAAAATAATGATAAATATAAAGGTAAAAGAAGGAAAGACATTTTGTAAGCATTTACAAATATTACGGATGTTATGCGTGTCAAGAAAAAAAAGTAAATGTAAGTAACAATAAAAATATATCTAGAGGACTCAAATTACAACTTGAAAAGGTTATAGCTTCAGTAATTGAGAAGGAAAACTATCAAAAGAGAGATGTGGTACTTATTATAAGGTAAGGTAGAGAAGGTTTCAGAGGATGATAACTTCAATAATTGAGATGATATAAGAAAAACTATCAAGAGAGAAGTGGTATTCATAAGATGAGCTAGGTAAGTATTTTACTCACGGAAGTGATCCCACTAAGTTCAAGTTATAGCAGTACACATGCCAAGTTTTATTTTACATTTTAATGATTTTGTATAGAGGAGAAAGAAGTATACATACATTATTCTAAACTCAATCGCTGAAATAGTAAGTGAATATTTTTAGTCGAAAAAAAGAATAGGGAGACCAATTAATGAGTCGACTCTAAGTCATATGAACTTCGTTTTTAGGTCGTATTCAACTTTTGCGGGCAATAGGAAACTACCTTTTCTCTAAATGCTTGAAAATTTTAAGTTGATTGTATTCTTCTCTGCCATATGTGGTTCTTGTAATCGAGAATAGAAAATCATTAGATATGTTGTGTAACGACCCGACCGGTCATTTTGAGATCTAGCGCGCCATTCAGTAGTTTGAGGCCATGAGCAGCTTCACTTCAGGTATTATGACTTGTACGCATGGTCAGAACTGAATTCCGGGAAGTTCGGAGTTGATTTGGAAAAAGAATTCTCATTTTGGAAGCTTTAAGTTGGAAGAATTGACTAAGATTGAATTTTTGAGTAAACGACCTTGGATTCGGGATTCAAAGGTACCAGTAGGTTCGTATAATGATTTCGGACTTGGGCATATGTCCGAATTGGGTTTTAGAAGATCCGAGAGCGTTTCGGCACCTATTATGGAAGTTGGCATTTTTGGAAAAATTTCTTAAGTTTGGGTTGAAGTGCGTTTCAGTGTTATCAATGTCTGTTTGGGATCCCGAGTCTGGGAACAACTCCGTATGGTGATTATGGTTTAGGAAGCGCGATCAGAAGTGAATTCGGAGGTTCGTAGGTCATTTTGGAGTCATTTGGCTAAAAATAGAAATTTGAAGGTTTTTGAGAAGTTTGACCGGAAGTGAACTTTTTGATATCGGGGTCAGAATTCAATTTCGGAAGTTGGAGCAGGTCCGTAATGTCGAATATGACTTGTGTGCAAAATTTGAGGTCAATCGGATGTGATTTGATAGGATTCGGCATCAAATGTAGAAGTTTGAAGTTCTAAAGTTCATTAAGCTTGGATTGGAATTTGATTCATGATTTTAGCGATGTTTGATGTGATTTGAGACCTCGAGCAAGTCCGTAATGTGTTATGGAACTGGTTGGTATGATTAGACGGGGTCCCGGGGGCCTCGAGTGGATTCCGGATTGTTAACGGATCGAATTAGAATTTGGAAGAATAGCTGAAACAGCTGATATCTGGTATAACCGCACCTGCGAAGGTTTGGACGCAAGTTCGGAGCCGTAGAAGCGGCCAAAGGTGTGCAGATGCGGTGGAGAAGGGGGAAGGCTGGGACCGCAGATGCGGTCAAGTCACCGCAGAAGTGGGACCGCACCTGCGAAAGGAGCGCAGAAGCGGAAATAGGGGGTCTGGGAAGGACCGCAGATGCAGTAGTGGGGCCGCACCTGCGGAACCGCAGAAGCGGTCAAGAGACCGCATGTGCGAAAGGACTGGAGGCAGTGAATTCTCTTTAAAAATCGCTTTTGGTTCATTTCCACCCATTTTCACTTCGGGTTGGATGATTTTGGAGCTTTCAGAAGAGATACTTTCTTCATCTATGTCAAGGTAAGTTGTTCCTACTTATTAGACGTTAAATACATGATTTTGTTACGGATTTGAGCATGCAAATTTGTAGAAACTTGGGGTTTGAGGGAAAACCTAGAAAATTGATATTCTTGGATTTTGACCATGATTTAGGATATGAAAATAAGATAAAATCATATAGTTGAGTTTGTGAGTTCATGGGTATCTTTATCTTCGAAAAATTTAGGAATCCGGACACGTGGACCTGAGGGCAATTTTGTCAACTTTTCGATCGGGGTTAGGAATTGTTATAAATCGGATTGTAATGAGTAATTGAACGCATATTAATGGATTTGCATAATTATTGGCTAGTTTTGGAGCATTGTGCATCGATTCGAGTCTTCGGAAGAGCGTGGAATGCCGGTTATGGATCTTTGGAGCGAGGTGAGTCTCCTTTCTAACCTTGTAAGAGGGAATTATCCCCATAGGTGCATTAATTGGTTATGTGCTCCTATTTGTGGGGGCTACGTACGCACGAGGTGATGAGAGTCCGTGCGTAGCTACTATTATGTGTAAGTCCGGGTAGTCTAGGACCCAAAAGCATGCTATACTTGGAATACCTGTAACCTTGATGACCGTTTGAATTGATTAAATCATATTGGATTAGTAAATGAATTTCTAAAAAGATTTAAACTTCATTTTCAAAAATCTTTAAAAAAGAATTGGCGTTTCTTTGGATAATTGTTCCCTGTTGACTTCTTGATTGACTGTCTGTGTGTGTTTAATTTCGAAGTGGGTCGAACGCCTCGGTAAATTAAATAGATGCATCCATGGTTCGCGCCATTCGACCCTCTGGCAGTGCACAATTTAAGTATTGTTGGATCGGGCCGTACGTCCTCGGCATGATTTGTGCATGCTTGTATTGTTTGCCTTGGGATTTATAGATGTTGATATTTGCTCTCCCTGACTTGAGAATAAATGTATAAATGATGAAAAGGAATTTAGGAATTTCCTATAAAAGAAAGAATTGTTTACTTGCTTCATTCTATTGAATCACAATCCTGTTATGAAAATCCTCGATTTATTATATTATGGATGTATCATTATTGGACCATTAGTAAGTGTCGAAGTCGACCTCTTGTCTTTACTTCTTCGAGATTAGACGAGATACTCATTGGGTACACATTGTTTTCGTACTCATACTACACTTGCTGTGCATTTTTGTTGCATAGGTTCGAGTGTGGCTAGTGGCTTAGTGGCATAACATCATGGTTGATATGGAGACTTGGGTGAGCTGTATTTATCGAGACGACCTGCAGCCAATAGAATTCCCTTCAGAGTATTTTACTGTATTGTTCATTTTTGTCCACTTGTATTTCGGACAGTTACTGTATTTTATTGCATTCTCTAGTAAACGCTCATGCACTTGTTACACTGGGTTCTGGGATAATTATGGGGTATCTTGTATTAACTTCTTAACATTCATATTTGATTTGAAACAATTATCTTTTACTAGTAAAATTGAAGGAAAAATCATAATTTTCAAAATTTTTAAACGAGAATTTAATTAAGTATTTTGGTTGGCTTGCCTGATAGCGGTGTCCGGCGCCATCATGACCCTTGGTGGAATTTGGGTCGTGACAACATGGTATCAGAGCACTAGGTTGCCTTAGGTCTCACGAGTCATGATCAAGTCTAGTAGAGTCTCGAGGATCGGTACGGAGACGTCTGTACTTATCTTCGGAAGGCTACAAGGCTGTTAGGAGTACTTCCCTTCTTGATTCCTCGTCGTGCGATTTGAATCCTTGAGGCTTATGCCCTTGTTTCCTTCCTACTCAATCTTACGTGACGTGAACAACTGGTTATAAATCGAGAATTGAAGGATTGTAATGGCACTACAGATGTGGTGCGGGATGTTTCTCCCGGTATTGTTGATTGGGCTATTGTCGTTGCATTGCGGGAGGATATCTTGTCATTTCAGCTCAGTAACAGTATTCCTGAGAGCTTTGAGACTATGCATAGATCGCTATGATTGCTCATGATTGGTTATCGCACAGTATTGACTTGATGGTGGGATACTTGCCTATATGTTGGGGCGGTGAATAATTTGAAAGGAAGTCTACTCAGTGCACGATTCAGAGATCTGATATTTCATTTCCGGCGAAGAAAAAGCAATTGGCCTATGAATGTCCAGATTTGTGGTGATGGAGAAACGAGACTTGGTATTTTCGAGCGTGGTGGAATTTTCATCTGCGATGTAGTGTCGTCGTCCTCACTTGTATGTGTTAAGTTCGCCGGTATTATGGTCTTCTGCAATTCGCCTTTGGGGTAAGATATTATGAAATAATATGGGAGACATGACTGTCAGAGATCGCGGGGTACTGTGGTTCAGGATTGAATCAGTGTTTTTAATGTTGACGGCTCGAGAAACATTTTCTTCGGAAAAGTTTAAGGTTGGTAGCAATTTGAGGGTTCAAGTGCTGCGAAGATAGATTTTATTTAAGGCAACAACTGAGCAACGGAGGATGAGAAAAGGACATGTGGAGAGTGTCAGGTGGTGGTTAAAATTTCTAGAAGGCCAGTTATAAAAAGCAAAGGTCGAGTAGTCGATTAAAGGGGTGAGTTTCGCCAAAGTGGGAGAGTGGTGGAGTTGCGTGTGGGCTTTGTGGTAGGATGACTACGCACCTTAAGGAGAGTTTGGAATGATTTGGGAATTTTAGTGATTAGTGATTGGGGTCTACAGATTTAAATTGAAGTATGGGCTATTATGTGGCAGGAGATTTGATATAACGGGAAGGAGCTGCTAGAAGTGAAGAAGGATACAACATAACTTTGAATTGGAAGGATGTTGCCACACATTTAATTGATATCCGCGAGGGGTGAATGGACTTGTGCAGCTAGAGAGTGAGCCTGGACTCAGGATGGGTTATTGATGTCATAGTGATTGTACCCCGTGCAGCAGCGTTGAAAGATGTCGGGAAGTGATTTCCACAGGTGGGTTATTCCCTGTGAGCAGGTTAGTGGTCACGTAGTTGGCGAGGCTTCCGCGAAGGATTTTGCTGGCTATCCAATAAGAGGTCGAATATGTGAATATTGCTAGAGATTTAGAGTGTTCATGAAATATTAATGGAAAGATTTCAAGGAATCTGGCGGTTTGATTGCGCAAAGTCATGTCAATAAGAGAGAAAGAACCTTGGTGGGTTCCAGAGTTGTGTAATAGTGGCTTCAAGCTAAGTGGGAGAGTCCCACCGCCTACGGTTGGATTGCATGGTCGTCTATTACGAGATTTCTGGTTATTAGCATATTGATGGGTTATTTCAGCTAGGGCAGAGTAACATAATAGGTGATTTGAGCAAAGGAATTGTTAAATGTGTGCTATGGTTGGCCTTATTGGCTCATGTTCAAACATGAGGAAGGATTCAGGATTTATGCCTTGTATAGATGCGAGTTTCAAGGAAAGTGATTCTGCCGGGTGCTTCGTCGAGAGGGTATTCATGTGCTAGAAGATTCATGGAGTAGATTATATTCGGGGCCAAGTCAGAGTGGGTGGCTCTCAACAACGATCCTGGTGGATTCAAAGGGGTAAAGTGTGGTACCTAATGATTTCGAGCCTATAGGTATGGTTAAGGATCAAGCTTTTGTAGCAGCTTATGAGAAGAGGCCAGAATGTTCCACGATGTTTTGACTTGCAGTGTAGCATTTGGGAGGAAAATGAGAAAAGACTTTGGATTCTTAGAGGGATTATCAGAATTGGCATACCAACTAAGGATGCGAAGGTGCGCACAAGGGAGGTATGAAATGGTTCGTGGGATTTGAGACAGCATGGTCTCGTGATTCAAGGTCACTCGGGATGAGTGCGAATGGAGTATGTTATGTGTTGAATGGAGCTACTATTATTTCTAAGGCAATCAAGGATGAATTCGAAGAAGTTAGATTGGTTAGCCATGGTTGAATTAGCATACTGGTGGCAAAGATCAGTTCCTTTAGCGTGATCAAGTTATGCAAGTGATTTGTGATGGTACGTGTGAGGCTTGTCGGCCGCCGTAATTGATATTATTCAGAAGTATTCTACTGTTATGGCTTGCTATGTAGAGGCGGATCCCGGAGGGGCTATGGTGGCTTAGATCACTACTTAGAGATTTGCATATTCTACGGTTATGAGAATTCACCTGTGGGTTACTATAGTTCTCCTGAAGTGAGTTAGGTGAAAAGTTTTTATATGATGAAGCATTAACCTATTAGTGGTTCCGGAGTTATGATGCAAATCGTGTTCTATCATATATTGGCATGATAAGTGCAGTGAGTGGTATGGAATTGGAAGTGAGGATCAAGGTTGCAGTTCGGTATTGACAAGGATGTCACGAGCTCGGATGAGCAGGAAAGGGGTTTCAATGTTTAAAGTAAGTGGGTATTTCCTTCAACGTCACCTGAGATCGGTGTTTTGTGAAAAAAGGCTTTGCATCCTGGTTAGGATTCTTGATCGCTTTTCAGCGTTAGTGCGGCCGGTGGTTTGGATGTACAGACCTGTTATCTGTTGCGGAAGGTGGTGGGAGCGTGCCCCACGGGAAGGTTGTATAAGTGTGGCATGTAATCACTTGATTGATTGAAGAAATTAAACCAAGTATGAAGATTGAGGTGATGTCGTTAAATTGAGAATTGATGCTTGGAGGGCACTCGGTTTATTGGGTTGTGGACTGTGGAGGATTACTCCGGTTATGATGTTTGTTCTTATGTGTTATGAGAAAAGGGGAGTTATTATGGACCTTTGAAAGATTATTAGCCTAGTTCAGTATGATCAGAATCAGCTTGAGGTCTGTGGATGGATTTAAATGTGAATATGGGCCTTACATCAGACCGAATGTGTTCATTTCAACATAGCGCTCCTTATGGAGGAGTATTCAGACATGGGGAGTTATTTCGTCGTCGGCTATTTCATGTAATGCTATATTGTGTCGTGTGAGTTGTGAAAGGCTCGATAATTTTCTTATGTATTGAGGTTCCGCGTAGCGATGGTGATATGTGAGCACGATGGCTCTTTAGCTTCAGAACATATATCGCACCTCAGTTGTGCTTGGGTTTTGTAGCCTATGGCACTATATGTCTTCCTAGGGATGGTATTATACACTTAGCGTGCTTGTGACCGATATTCGGAATTTTGTTGTAATGAGCAATTTAGCTCGATGTATATCTCCTTCTGTGAATTCTATGTGTGGATCGGGTGGCGCACCGCCATGGGTATGTTATTTGGATCGGGTTGCACGCCGCAACAGTGTGATGTTGAGTACAGTTTTCTATCTGCTATTTTTGTATGCCTTGTTTCCTATCTTCTAAGGAAAGTCCATATTAGTGCATGAGTTGAGTAGTTCCTTCTAAGGAAACAAGATTTGGGTTTCGAGCTTTCCGGCGTCGATTCGAGGTTCCGGTTTGTAATCTCGATGTTTCGGTCCAAGGATTGTTGCTTTGTTTAGCCCGATTGATTTGCAATTTTCAATGTTGTTCATCAATAAAAGGTTCATTTCTCAATTTTCATTCTCATTTCATTGTGTTATGATAACTTGGTGCGTGTGTTAGTTGATTTGTGATTCTACATTGTTTGAGTAGCATGCCTTAGTTTTCATTTAAATTGTTTTAGTTAGTTTTTATTTCGATTGTGATGTATGTAGTCTTGGTTCTTGAATAATTGCATTTAATTGGGTAGATGAAATAATTGGAGTTGTTTCTTTCTTGGCAAGGAATAAGAATGTGCCATAAGGTGGGTCTTGGACTATAAGGAATCTGGCCGAATAATAGATAATGTTAGCTAGCCTATTGGCCCCAATAATATCTTGTTCATAAATTTGGCCTCACAATAATCTTAAACTAGTTTTTAGAATAAATAATCCATGAATATTCGTGGCTTGCTTTAGGCGCGATTTGATATAAATTGTGATTGTGTACACGTTCGCCTGACACAATTACAATCATTAAAAATAAAATCGGGTATGCGTTTGCGCAACTTCAACCAAACTTTCTTAATATTAATAAAGCGTGATTAATTGTGGAGATGTACGCGTGACATGATTCTTGACGCGCCAAATAAAATGAGTATACGTACGCGTAACTCATCTTAAGTTAATTCTTTAAATACGGATTATCAAGTGATTATTAGCGGTAAAAGGTAAGTGTACATAGGTCCTAAAAATGAGTAGTTAAACAATTTAAGCCAAGTAACAATCACTAAGCGACCGTGCTAGGACCACGGAACCCGAGAATGTCTAACACCTTCTCCCAGGTTAACAAAATTCCTTATCTAGAATTTCTAGTTCACAGACTTTAAAAAATAAAATTTTCCTCGATTTGGAATTTTAAAATAAACCGGTGACTTGGGACACCAAATAAACTATTCCAAGAGGCGACTTTGAAAAATTAAATAGATTAATCTCATTTCGAATAAT